TGGCTTTCTAAGGGGAAGTCCCCACATGAGGATGCCCACGGCATAGAAGCGAGCTAGTTTTGCATACTTTTGGGTAAGGATGATCATGGTAGTAGCGTGAAGAACAAGAGCAGCACGAATATGAAAAGCAGCTGTAACCGTACTAGTGGAAGTACTGGTGGCAGCAATAAATTCCCTTCTGAAAGAGAAGACGTCGCTGGGCTTCTGAGGTGGAGAGCCCGAGGACACGATGTGCCACAGTCAGCGGGTTCTCCATGATGGGCAGTCGACACAGTGCACAGATCACCACGCGTCACTACCTTGAGCACTCTTAATCGGCTGAAGCACTTGTGAACAGGACGGTTGGGCGCTGGGTCGTGGTGTCCTTTCCCACCTTGCAGTTGCGGATCGTTTCAGTCAGGGGTACCTCCAACGTCCAAGATGCGCGACTCTGTCGGCAAATCAGCGCCACAGACTCTGAAAGGACGGTGCGGCTGCAAGATGCAATGGTAGTGATGATTTCTGCTTTGATCCAGATATGCATACATACATACGTATATACATACAAACATACAAACATACATACATACATACCTGTGCTTCAAGACGGAGAACTCAGACTTTGCTAGGGCTATTGAGTGCAGCTGCATCTTTGGGGTTTTGTAGCCTCGAAGACTCGTAGACATCAAGCGTGGCTTCTTTGCCCCGTGGGCCGAACTTGCAGATACAGCTTAGCAACCTGCACGTGGAATTGTGTAGCATCAGCATTGTGTTTTGCGGAATTCCATCTGGATCTGCAGCAGTGACGTCTGCTTTGTCAAGGTATGCTGATTTGAAGATCTACTCGGGAGTAGCTGTTGGGTCCTGAGTTGGCGAAAGACCGATGCGCACTGCACATGTATGGGAGATGACATGTACCTGGTACCTCACTTTGGCTTCCCAAAGGTCCTTCAGATGACAAGCGTCTTCACGCAACCTGGAAGCAGAAGTTGATAGCGTGTTTTGTGTTGAGGAGTCACGCTTGGGAGGTTCCCTGTCCGCATTTATAGGTAGCACTGGTAACTCTCGCGATGTTAGGAAGTTCTGAAACATGCCTTGGCACCATGAGGCAGGAAGCACTGGGTTTTCCAATGCAATTCTTACTGCTGCCAGCTTTATTAAAGCGCTACTCTCCCGCAAAAACGCCCAGCCGTTCGCCAAGAAGAGCAAGGTAAGTAGTTCTCGCCTTGTCTGCAGCCCTGCGGCGCAGCCTCCAGGACTCTAGGTCTCTAATTAAGCCCTATAATGTTGGGCCTGTAAGGCCCGTCCTGGCTGTTATTCCGACGGGCGTGACGCAAGCGTGCCTCGACTGCTTTTCAGACCAGCTCCAGTCCATTGCGAGCATATCCATGTGGCGAAGCAAGTTGCTAGAGCCTGCCTACGGTGGCTACGCCTGTGAGGCTGCTAAGCGGCCGTGGCAGCAGGGTCCTCTTCCAGTATGACAGCGTATCCGAGCGCTTGAGCGAAGCTGTGGGGAGGCCACCTACAATCACAAAGCAATCGCGCGCGATGTAGCAGCGCAATCGGGGTGCAGAGCGCGCAGAACATGCTATTGATGTGTGTGTGTGTGCGCAGCACTGCTACACCCATTGGCAGGCACAAGGCTGAAGCTGAAGCGCAGGGACAGAAGCTGCTGATGACAGGGCACAGCTTGGGAGGCAAGGCAAAAGCTTGTGTGGACTGCGGGGGGCCCTGGCGGAGAATCCGTGGGGAGCTTCCGCTCAGTACCGCAGCGTCACGAATCGAGCCTTGCTCAGGCGCGCTGGTGGGCGCGGTCGCTGCTGTCCATGATGTTGACGGCATTGGCTTCTCGCCTCCTGGACTATACTACCAGGCCACGCGCGCTGTCTACTTCGAGTGATTTGCAGGCGGCTGTTGCGCAAGACTGAACCTCATGCCTTGGAGTTATGGAGGTCGAGAAGTTTGACCTAAGGCTGTGCCTTGGCTTGAAATCAGAGAGATCTTGCAAAGCAAAGCGTAGAGCTTGCGGAAGATGCTGATGGGAAGGTGCCAAGGAGCGCCACGGCAATGGCTTGGTGTCCTGTCTGTGCTGCTACTTTCCGTCGCATAAGGCGGGATCTCCAGTCCACCTTCGCAATCGTTCAACCAGAGAATGACGTCGTGCCTCGCGCCGTGCCTGGCGATCTGTAGTGTTCATAGCACTTTATGGCTTTTGTGACTCTTGCGATGCGAGCCAGCAAGGATGGGGACGGCCCCAGACTGCGAGCTAGGTCTGCGCAGTATAAACCTCAGGTTCCCTTAATAAGGGAACCTGCTGAGTGGATCTGAGTGGCATACTTACTCAAACGAAACGAAGTGCTCGCACAACGGCAACATTCAGGTAGGGCATCGAGCCTACGGGCTTGCAACACCCTTCAGCGGCCCATGTGGAAACGAGGGTGAAAATTGCTCCCCAGGTCTCCCAAGTGCTGAGAACATCCAAACGGGGAGCCTCCAGCATGCCAGCCCGTGCCAAGGATTGAGCGAGAAGAGTTCGGGACCAGTTCAGATCGGCCCGAGTTTTTTGCCAGGACATGCCCACATGTCTTGAATGGCAAGCACCAGAACGGCCACAACGGATCGCAAAAAGAATGCCGGGGGAAGATGTCAAGGCCGAGCGCGGAAACAACCCGAAATGCTTGCTGGCCCGTGATGGCTGCAGAGTGGCAGCACATGTCAGGTCAGTCAGGTCTGAAGACGGGGGGGGAGAATCGCATCAGGCAGGGGATCAGAACACATCGGCGAGACTGAGCTCAAGACCTCGCCAGGCTTGTTCGAGACATGTGCTACATGTGTCAAACCAAAAAACACTGTGGGGCATTTGATAATTGGTCGCCCGTGATCCCTTAACCGTCGGAGCCACAAGCGAACTTACCGCGGACGCTGCAAGTCACTTCTGCATTTCCATGGCATGTTGACGAGACCTGCAGGGGCTCAGAACTGTGAGTCCTCTAAGGAGTTGACAAGCAGCGGGGCATGATCCAGTGGATCGCATGCACAGAAAGTGCAGCCCAATGTCACAGGCCACTGAGACCGACCATCTGCCTTCTTTTTTTCGTAGCCGTCGTAGCCCATGAGCAAGAGTCCTGTCAAGGCTGACACACACTGCCTGCGAGCTGTGGGCCCGATGTGGCGACACAAGCAAACGAGACTGGCGCGCGACGTGTTCGAAGTGGTACTCCGGAGGCTGCGCAGACATGTCTGTGTAGATGTGTAGATGACTTGGTTGACCATGTAGTTGGAATGCGGCGTGTGTTTGGCGGCTGCAAATCTTCGGTTTTTTCGTGTTTTCGCTCGGTATTTGCGACACTTCCCTCACTTTTCCTAGCACGTGATTTTGACCTGCATTTTACACTTCTCTCTTTTTTGTCTCGATATTGGCTGCGCTACTCTGGCAACGCTCACCTGCGATGTGGGTCTCGAAGCCTTCTGTCTTTTTTCGAATCCTGATCTCTTGACTCCATGCGTCCCTTTCCCTGGGTTTGTGCACGTTTCGCACTTTAATGTTAGCTTTTGGGTGTGTGTGTGTGTGTGTGTGTGTGTTTTGCCTTTTATGGCTTTGGTCATTTTTCGTGTTTTTGCCGTTTCGACTTTGCATTTTCCTGGCCTCTACTTCTTCGGATTGTGCTTTTTTGCAGGGTTTTTGTGTTTCGTGTCTCAGGTTGCTTCGCTTTTGCTTTGTGGATCGGCCTCGAAGTGCCCGCATTTTTTTTTAAGGGGTTGGGGGGGAGAGAAGTGTCCATCTTTCAGTTTGAAGGCGCTGACCTCAGTCAGTGCTGTCGTGAATCTCCAGCGCCCGAAACCCGAGACCCAGACAGCGCAAGCCCAGAACCTCAAAACATCTTCCCCAAGATCCTACAGCCGTGCAAGCCCAAAACCCTGCTCCCCCTTAAGGCCAACTACCCCATACCCCAGGCCCAGCACTGCAAGCCCAAAGCCCTGTAAAACACCTTCCCCAAAATCCTACAAAAGTGCAAGCCCGAAACCCTTCTCCCCTTAAGCCGAACCCTCCCAAACCTCAGACCGATTGGCCATTTAGGAGTTGAGGGTGTTCGGGACTTAGGGTTGTCGAGTTGAGGCGCAACACAATACAGTGCAAGCCCAAGACCTGAACATGCTTTCTCCAAAAAAACAACACTCAATAACTCGTGAGAACTACTCTGCAAACAAGTAGTTTCCGGAAGACTCAAAAACATAAATCGTGCTTAAAACTCGAGTTTTGGACCACCAACATGCCCCGTAGTCCGCGGCCCCATACACGCCACAAACCATGTAGTTAGCTCACCCTTAGGCCATTGCAGGCTCCTGCTGTCTTGCAGGCCCGAACGGCAACATTAATCAAGAGCTCTGAAGCTGAAGTGCCAAGACGTGAGAATGTCGAGAACTGTGTACAGGCCAGCAATGCATAGCTGCTAGGCTCATTGGCAGCAGTCTTTCCAGGGCAGAGAGTCCCCAGGATCTGCTTGCCTTCTTGCAAAACGTACTGCATTTTTCATGCGGCTCACTGACAGTCAAGGGCATGACATACTGGCACTCACCAAGTTGTTGCAAGTCATGGTTAGAAGATGTACTTGCCACCTTTTGCACACCTTGCTTGCAGTCGCTTTGAAGGCTGAATACATCTTGTCGTAGGCACATGGGCGGCGCACGCCCGCCCAACGTAATTAAAGAGGCGGTCAGCATCACAAGATGCGCGGCCTCAATCCTCATGTCAACGAGCAGTCGCAACAAAAGAGCGCAGCAATTTCTGAGGCGGACCTGAGCTAGAGGTTGGAGTTCCAGCGATCACTTCCCTTGTTTCCATGAGATGCGTGGGACAGAGAGACTGGCATATAGATTGCAGATGTGCGGAATGTCATGCCCACGAATCCTGAGTAGTTGCCGGTCGAATGAATACAGAGGTGGCGCATGCGATTGTTTTTCATCTTCGGGATGGGGATCAGTACGGCAATAGGGTTGGTTGCACATTCAGCACACAGCAGGCCGGCGGCTGGGAGGCTGCCTGCCACGAGAAGCTGACTCTGGCGCTGCTTCTTCTGGACCGCCGCTATCAGATGCCGGTGGACTTGAGACCGAACCAGAGGGAACGAGCTCCGGTTTCCTTATTAAGTCTGAATGGATTCAGCCCCTTGAAGAATTAGGGGTTTGGGGTGTGCATCGGGACTCGTTGCGAGTGTCGATTGAGAGCATTGGGTGCTGCTGGCGAGTCGGAGAGAGGTGAGTGGTGTCGGTCAGGCGATGTTAAAGTGTCGAGGTGGGGGGGGCAAGGAGTCCTGCTAGTGATGACCAGTTCGTGTGTTTCCTGCTTGCGATGACCAGTCCCGCATCCTTGCCTGCCGTGTGCGCCAGTCGTGAGAGTCAAAAGTGATAACGGTGCCGGGAAGTTCTGCGAGCACTGGCATGATCCGAACGCATTTCTGCACAAGGCACCCTGATCTGGAGTCTTACACCCGCATGCCGACCAAAGGCATAGAAGGCAGCAAGATAAGGCTCAAGAAGGATCAAGAAACACAGCCAGCACACTGGGAGGAGGGGATGGGGGCAGCCGGGAGGTGGCGCTGTAAATGACAGAAGTTCGAGGTTTTTGGAGGACTTGGGCCTGCCGAGGACAGCAAGCGCACAGAGCAATGAAGAGGCAGGAAGGAACGAAAGAGGATACAGCTCAAAGTTATACATGAAGGTTGATGGTGGCTTTTCTCCATCACCCCCCCCCCCCCCGACAGAACAGATGCAAGCAGTAGCTTTGGGAGGAGCTCCTGGGCAGCGAAGCAGACGGCGAAGATGTTCCCGCCATTGCCGCCGGCGCCCGAGGATTTCAGGGTTGGGGGGTTACCGGTCTGGATCCGACACTTGACATAAACCGGTGTCTTCGCATCTCATACTGCTCATGGCTCACGCAAAGATGGCTCGCTCAGGCGTCACCACGAACCGGGATTTCCCTGAGCAGTGAACCCTACCCCTACCCCATCCCCACCTTCATTGGTGATGAAGACTTGAGTCTTCCGTCGAATTTGGAGGGGATGAGGGAACCCAATTCATGGTAGCATGGTACCATGGTGCACATCAGGGAATTCTTCTGCTTGAAGTTTCGTCCAGACAGGTATGTGTTGTCCGCACCCCCTCTCCCCCGGCCCTTGCAGGTCCCTGTGTTTGATGTCATCAGCGCGCCACCCGAAGCATTTTTCTGTGCAGACCTTTCAAGATCCGAGGGATATACGGCGCCCATCGCCCAGCTGTCCGGGGAGATCGAACGGCCAGGATCCCGAAGTCTCCTCGCAGTCGCTCTTGGGGGATTTCTTGGGGAGCTGTGGCCAGACGTAGTGGTACTCTTCCCCCCCAACAGGAGTCAGAAAGTAGCCTGGGGGGCATGCGCAGAATATCACGAAAGCTAGCTCTGTGGAGCTGGCGGGAGTTGTCGTTTACCCATGCACTGGTATTCACCTTGTTAAGAAGCTTCCAGGGAAAAAAAGGGTTCCACACCTTAACAGGTCCGAAACCCAAGACTTAAGGTGGGGGTTGGGGGGGGGGCCCCCCCCCCCCCCCCTCACCTCACCATGAAGCATTTTCGAAGGATAAGGTGCCGGCGCCCCCCCCCCCCCCCCCTCCTTTAAGGTGGTTGCGTGTGGGATAAGGTAGGGGGGGGGGGGGGGCCCCCCCCCTACCACCTTCAGGTCCCCCCCCCCCCCCCCACAAGGTCCCCCCCCACCCCACCCCAAGGTCTTCCCCCGCCCCCCACAGTCACCATACTCTGAAGGTCTGTGGTACTTTGCAGAGGTCGTACTGAACAGAGCGTCCCTTGTACCTAAACTTCGTTTGCGACACGGGGTTCCAGCGGGGGAAGCAAGGGGGCTGAAGGAGTTGAGGGCTTCAGATTTCGAGTTTAGGGGTCTTCGATCTTACGCCGCCGCCACCTGAAGCATGTGCCTGAAATACGGAAAAAGCTGCGCCGGCGGCTCCAAGTCCTGCCGACTCGCTGCATGCCACCCCCCTGCGGTGACTAGCTTTCGTAGCCCCTTCTCAAGTGAAACAATGTAAGCAACCTGCAGAAGCCAATGAACTCAACCCCCCTCCGAGACACGTAAACCCTAAACCCTGAACCCTAAACCCTAAACCCTAAACCCTAAACCCTAAACCCTAAACCCCTGTACCCCTGTGATAAGGCGCCTCAAGGGACGGAGCGGCGCTGGAACCTTGGGAGTCCGGAACTTTACGGCGCTTTTGCCTTTGGGTTTTGGATGCTTTCGGATGGTTTTCGGTTCCTTCTCCTGCTTTTCACATGACTTCCACGGAACAGACTAGATGACGAGCCTGAGTGATACATGCCAAAGCTTCAGAGTGAGATTGCGTTCGCGAACTTGGGTTTTCGCGTGCACGTGCCGAAGCCATTTGTCAGATTAGCTGCCCGTCGCAAGAGCGTCCCAGGGACTCTGGTCACCCTGTTTGTCGCAACGTTGTTGTCTTTGTCGGTTTGATGCCTTTCTGATCTTCAGTAGCTGTTCTGGCTGCAAATTCAAGCAAAATTGGTGACCCTCATATTCGTGTTTCCTTCCGGCATTCCTCCAATGTCATTTTGACAGCCTAAGCTACTTTCGCCATGAGACAGTGGGTGGTGCCTTGTTGCATATGCGTTGCCACCGCCAGGCAACGCGCAGCCTTAAATGCAACACCTCTTTACCCAACATCGAAAAAACTCTTCATGAGCTCTGATTGGGATGTTCGCCCTTATACTAACCGCCCATAATCGGGATTCGAATGGGGAGTACAAAAATCCCCATTCAGGGCTGTTAGAAGAAAGAGGGAACATCCCAAAGCACTGATCCTGTGGCAGGTGGCTGGACTGGGAGGAATCTGGGGCAACCCCAGGGAGTTCCATTGCAGCCGCACAGAATACAGAGCTTCTCAACACTTTGCTGGCCTCCCTCCATGCTGGCGCGCCTTGGACCTTTGCCATGGGAGTGTGTGGGTGTCTCTGGGGGCTGGGAGGGCAGAGACTCCTTGCCTGAGGATACGCTGTTCGTTCCGAACAAGACGTTCTGGCTAGCTGGAGGCGTCCAACTTCGAAATGCTCACAACGTGACCTTGCACTTGGATGGAACGCTCGAGTTCCTGCCAGGCTGGGCTCATGCCCACATAAGTTGCCCCAAGCTGTGTTCTTCATGCAAGAGAGGAGTTTAAGAGTCTACTTACCAGGGCATGACAGGATATTAATTTCAGGGCATTAAGCACAGGGTATTCACTACAGGATATGAATTACAGGGTACTGAGGTTCGGGCGGAAGTGTGGAGAAGCCGGCTCTCTGAATTTACCCGAGAGGCCGGGCAGGATGGCCCGAACAGGAAGGAGACCTTTGCAACTTGAATCCGCTGCAGCCCACGCGACCAAAGCCACTTGCCTTTCAGAAAGGGATGTTTCTGTAGGGAGCTAGTAGGGCTCATTGCCAGTTGTCCCCCATTCTTCCTCTGCAGGATGCTAGACGGGCACGGGGAAAGGGAAGCAGCGAGACTGATCCGGGGCATGCCGCACAGTGACGACTGGTGAAGGCGATGTGTGCAGGAAGCCTTCTTCATTGCAAATGTCTCAAAGCTTGTTTTGACCAGCTCCTCGACTGCACTCACCTGCGGCCTGAGAAAGTGATGCTAGCACGTACTCAGCACGTGCTCATGCCAAGGCACTGCCGGTGGAACTATGAACGGTAATGGCAAGTCTTGGTGGGGCATTTTGGCTGTTGGAAACAGTATCGTCGGTCAGCAGGGCTCATGCAGCGTGAAGCACAGTAACAGCAAGCCGGCAGCCCGAGGATATCTCCAGTACTTCTTCTACGGGGAGAACCGCCCGCGTTTGTTGAGCATCTACAATGGCACTGACATCCTGGTCGAGAAATGGACCCTAACACAAACCACGTCTTGCGAATGCTGTTGTCATCCAACTGCATGGCAAGCAACCTGTACTTCGTAGTTGCGCAAGGAACTTCGTAGACTCTGCCTACTGGACTTTTACGGCTTTGGATGTTGCACGCATGGAGGCCCATTTCAGCATGGGTGCAGACCAATAGCTGCTCATGCTTTGTACGCAGATTCGCCATTGCACCGTCAGCGCCCGCGTGGACAAGTCTGATGATCATGACCTTGGAAACATGGACGCCTTCAACACAGACGGCTTCACGGCAGGCATCCAACAAAATCTCCTAAAGCACGTCATGCGGTCATACGTGTTTGACTTGAGCGAAGCTGGTAGTTTCAAGTGGGGCCGTGACTACGACCATGACCTGAGCGGCACGGTTCAGGCTGAATCCCATGTTCACTTGAGACCCACGTGCTTTCCAAGTAAGTATGTGCCGCATGGATGGTGCAGAAACAGTCCTGTCTTTCAAACTTTCAGCCTCTACAGTATGAGCATCACATGGGCATACAGGTCTTTCGAAATCCACAGTGCTACCATGTGAATCTCGTGGTGGTCGTAGGAAATCGCTCAGCTTCGGAACTGAGGGTGTTCTGAGTGTGGACCAATAGGCAGATGCCCGTGGTAGATGCCAGACTTGTGGGAGGTGTAGGTCGAGCCAAGGTTTCGATGTCGCAGGCCGCGATATTCACATCCACCACTGCAGCGTTTGGAACCAGGACGATTGTTTCACCGTTCAACCGCGGGACCGGACCGGTATCAATGCCCATTGCTCCGAAAATGCACCTTGGCTTGCAATCAGCACTGGCCAGATCAACCACAGCCAGCCGCCGGATTTCCAGTCGAGACCGGGGTCTCGCGATGTCTCGTGCACCTGAGTACAGTACACTCAACGTCTGAATTGGTGTATGGGCACAGGTCCTCATCGAGCATGTTAATGCCAGTGGACTTGGGCTCACTATCGGAGGTGTACCTTGGCAGCACTGCCATGCCAATCAAACTTCGGACTCTGAACAGACCCTCAGCCTCCGAGGTGCTACCGACTGCTGGGCACAACTGCGTCCGCAATGTGACGTTTCGTGACGCGTACATGCTGCACACCTTCAAAGGAGGGGTGCTTCATGAGAGTCGAATCCGCAACAGCTCATGTGTCGTCGAGTTGTGACAGGTTTGCAGAGTTACACAGGTTCTCCCATTTGTGAAGAGCCCAAAGCCGAGAGGAATCTACATAAAATCGCAGAACAGTCCAGCAGACGGGGCCGCTCGGCCATGCAACCTAAACTGCAAGAGCTGCCAACAGAATACTGCAGAGGAACTGTTTGGGAAGCTTGCGCAGAGCCACATGATGGCAGTTGCCATAGGGTCTGAATCAGGTCAGTGGGGAGATCTCGAATGTGCTGTATGAAGCTTGACTTCCGTGAGCTTCTGCAAAGTCCAAGTTCGTGGGGTTCACGAAGCCAAGAACCAAGGAAGACATTGTCATGGACCGGCCAAGCCAGGTGCAAAAATCACGGATGCAGAAACTGAACCCCTGGAGGGGGGAAAGGGGGGTGGGGGGGGCTTGAAGATCTTGTTGTCTCCTGGCCTTGGGTTTTGAAGAGTTCGGATGTGTTACCCAATGTGGACGCTTAGGATCGAGACTAAGCCCTCACATCACTATCGATTTCAGGTGCCGATTTGGATTGGACCAGCACAAGAAGCCGACTCATACAAGGCAGGGTGCTTAGCAGTTGGAGGTCAGGAAGATAGATCGCAGAAACCAATTCTCGCATCTCTGGAAGTCAGTGAGTCGTCGCCGGATGAGAGGGTTCACTGTCACAATGCTCAGGCCTGTTCATTGTTGTGGCCAGAGGTGCCATTTGTTTGGGACTCAAACTGCCATGCGTATGCGTCCGGCTTGTCACCTGCCGGTCAGCTGCCTGCGCTCAAGATGGTGAGGCCCGCTGTTCACCGCCCAGCACATCAATGCACTTCGCAAACATCACGCTGCGCAACATTCGCGATGCTTGGCGGCACAATCATCTTGCGGAGCACCATCCATGGCCACCTAGTCATGTGAGGCTTAGCGGCAAATGTCACATTCTTCGCAAGGTGATCAACCCCAAGCAGAGCCCTGGCCTCGTCTATGGAAATCCGGATCGACCGATGGAGAACATCCATTTCGAGCAGCTTGATTGCAATTTTGCGAGCTAGTGCCAGCTACAGCTGCACCTGGCAGCCAATTTTGGCGCCTCCAAAGCTTGGTCAAGGGCAGCCGAGTTGATAAGCTAGCAAGAAAAAGGGGACGGTTGGGACGATGGATGAGTTGCAGCAACACAAGCACCCCAAGAAAAGCAAACGTTCTGCTGCCTTGTGCGAAGCAGAGTGGGAGGCATCCACCCCTGTCTCACCGATTGTACCCCAGCCTTCCTACTACAACCTGTAGTCCAGTGCAGGTTGCGAATGGAGTTTGGAAATCTTGTAAAGTGTGCAGAAATCTGACGATGCTAGTCTTGCAGTAGGTGCCAGGAACGGCGCGATGCAGCAAAGTCGGAGTGTAGGTCGAATTGTTTTGTCTAGCTTCAGAAAGAAGGTTTTGCTCTCTTGTTCCAACTCCTTCTGTTTGTTTTGATCTAGTGTTTTGCGTTAAGTATACTGAAAATTGAGCTCCTTGGTATTCTGCAGCTGTTCCCATGACATGTGTGCTACGCACCATGTCTAGAAGCACTTTGATGTGCCTTGATTACCACTATCGTTTGGGGCATGAGCACTACGACTTCTATCGGCACAATGATTTCTAAGGTTTCTGGGATGGCTAATGTTGTGGTTCACCGCTGTCTGTATGACACCCGTAACTCGAATTGCTAAAGCTGCTATGTTTTGCGGTTCTGTTCATTACGGACTCATTCGGATTCGCATTCTCGTTAAAACGATGCGTTTATTGCACTAAGGAACGTCGTGGCTGTGAACCCTGGCCTTCGTCCATGGGGCAGGTCTTTCTACAAATGTGTGTCTCGGCCCTCATGCGCTGCCGTGCTGGTTCTCATCTTCAACCCTAAACCCTAAACCCTAAACCCTAAACCCTAAACCCTAAACCCTAAACCCTAAACCCTAAACCCTAAAGTATCCCATCTAGGCAAGAAGCGCAAAAAAAAAACAGCTGAGGAGGGCGTGGCAGGCCTTGCAACTGCAGGGACACAGCCTGCTCCTCCATGCTTCCGGCAGCCGGAGCCAGTACAGGAGTTTGATCTCCTACAATATCTTTTCACATGACATGAGCTTGAGACCCTCCTGTGCAAGAATGGCCCAACTTAGCAAGTTGTTGAGACCTCAAGTAGGCACTGGGTCATCGTCGTACCAGCATGGCATGACCTTTTCCGAGGGCCGTGCCAAAGATGTCCAGAGCCCTCTGCAGATGGCAAATCCAATCTGCAACTCATGCTAGTGCTGCCGTGCATCTAGCAAAGCTGGCAATTGTTTCAGACCCGCCAGCAAAACTGCTATGAAATTGGGAAAAGAGGTCACCCAGCCAAGTACACTTGCACCTGGCTCCAGCCCTCGATTGACCTATGACGTGCTGTTGATGCCGAGGCAGTCAGTCGGTCAGCCAGCAAAACATAGGCCTGCAGGATCTCAAGGAATCCGCAGAATCCCAAGAAAGCATGGCCCTCTGTGGTGGCACGTGGTCTGCGAGAGGGGCTTGCAAGTGCTCACGTGACAGGTTCCTCTTCCGGCAGTTCAGGCTCATCAGCAGCGAAGTTGAACTGTGGAACTTGAGAGGGAAGTTTCACAATGAGTGCAGTGCGATCACCTTGCTACAGTCAGTAGCGGAGGACAGAGCCTTCGTTCACGAAGCTAACCCCATTACTCATGCCAGATCTCACGGCATTTCGTGTACAAAGAGACAGCAGGACACCAAGAGAGTAACAGCCACGGCAACTGTTGCGAGCCCTAGTATCAGTTACCGCTTACCCCAGCAAAGGTTGCAGCAAAAGGGTTCTTGATGAGTGACGTTGAGCGAGAAACAAGTTCAGGTGCTGCATGTTGCTCCTCTGGGTGTCGGCTGCTTGCATTCTGAATCGCGCTTTTGTGCAGTTATGTGCGCTTGAAGACGAAAAGCCTACTGACCGCAAGAGTTGTCTCCTCAGTCATGACAACTCGGAAGTTGTACCTGACTTGGTCTCCTTACGAAAGGTGAATGGGGTGCATGTTGACTATGAGCCATTCAGGGCTTTGGAACTTGGAAGTTGGACTTTTTTCGTCTCATGCGGTTCACAGCATAGCCTCGTGCCCCTTGATTTCGGTCCCGGTTGAGCCGTTCCTCTTGTCTCAGGCTCTCTCAGCCGTCTTCGTGTCCTTGAGTCAAAAAAAACGGCGGGCACTCAACAGCACAGGGCCGACGCGAGGGATGGCACCATGGGCATGCGCAGGGCTCATTGGAAGCAAGCGGCGAGGAGACCGCTTGCAGCGCCGGCTTTCATCTTTTAGGGTTTAGGGTTGGATCCTTTTCTTCCGACGGATAAGCGACACCAAGCAACATCGCATTCGTGCTGGATCAAGCACGCCATGCTCAAGGAGGTGTCTCTTTTTAGTTCTGCTTTGCTTGTTGAGGCGGGGGAGGTGGTTCTGTCCTCTGTTTCTCTTATTTGTCTTCGTCCCTCCACTGCACACTTCCAGCGGATTAGCTTTGTCAGGCTCGGGCATGGAAAAGCTAGCAAAAGCTTTCCCGTAATACTGCTTTGGTGCGAGCCTGTTTCATGTTTGCTGAGGCCCACTAGCTTTCGGTGGGTTTAGGGTCTCTAGACTAGACCTTCGGGCAAACTGTGATGTTTCAAGCCCGAAAGCTCGCAGGCGCGAAACGTTTCTCAAGCGCATAGCTAGAAACAACGCCTCGATGCACATATATCGTCGTGTTTGTTGCCGCAAGCAGATTGTTGCTGAGTGACCGCAGAGTCTCGGCGACTGGTTTCCTTGAGCTGCGCAATGTGTAAACCCTAAACCCCAAACCCCATCCTTAAACCCTAAGCCCTAAACCCTAAACCCTTAGAGGGGCGAGACCATGCCTTGGAGCTTTTTGCTGCGTTGAAGCAAACCCTGCCTCATTCCCTTCAACCCTGGGAAAGGGGTGAAGATTCGTTGAAGACTGTGGAGCCCCTGTTTTTCCATATCTTGCCCAATCGGAACATGTCATCAGCATTGGGATGCCCTTTGTGTACGACATTCTGCCGGATACAATATCCAATGCATGAGCACAGCTTGCAAGAGTAAGAACCCAAACTGAGATGGAGGTGATCTCGCGGTGTCCGTTTGAGACAATCATGCAGGCCTGACACCCTTACAACTCCGCATTGATGCGCTGGAGCAGCAGCCTAGACGGGGCGGCACCCCTTTTGTCCTCTTTGTTACCAGAGGCGCTGCTTTCACGCTCTTCGTGCATAGTACCAGGTCCTCGGCTGTGGCGGAATGTTGCCCACGGATCTTGAAGACTTGGGGAAGCCCACCGGCAAAGGAGGTTGGCTTTGAAGCAACAAAGACGGCTTGAACGATTTGCTCAGTGTAAAGAGTCTGGGCTTAGTGGTTGAGAAGTTGCCAGAACGTATGTATATTTGCCAGGACAGAAAACACTTGTCAAACGCCTTTCCCAGCTGACCACGGGAGTTTGGGTCCGAAAACAAGGGTAAGGCACAGCGCGCTAGAGACTTTTAAGACAACATCAGGACAACATCTCACTCTTGTCCGGCCCAATACACCAGCAACTTCATCTTCAATCCCCAAAACAGCTCTTTGTTGCATCGGACAAGTGAATACCGCTGGCCGTTTGTTGGCTCCATGGCTACCGGTGCCAAGGGTCCGTAGAGCAAACCTTCCTGAACTGCACTGAAGGGCCGGAAGTCACGCAACTCTTGACCTGCCAAGATGGGCAAGTGCTGCAATGAACTTGGTTCCAGCCCGACCTTGCAGATTTGTGTCATTCTCTCCTTGATGGTCTTTGTGGTGATCACGATCAGCAACCTTGTGATACAGTTCATGCACTCCGACGTGATTGGGGCGGATATTGGTGTTAGTCTGATCATGTTGCTCGGATGTCGACTATGCATGCCTGTCCTGCCTTAAATCTTCGCTCAAGCAAAGAATGCCCGGAAACAGCCTTCTGTCCATCTCTGCTTGAACCTAGATCTTGCATCTGGAACCTCAAGTAGCCACTTTCCCCTCCAGGCACAGAAGACGCACTGCAAGCACCGTTTGGCGTTGGAAGCCGCAAACGTGTGTATCACCGGTGGCCAGCAACCGAAACGAAAGGTATGAATGCACGTTGTTGATCATGCCACAAATGTCAGAGATAAGCACACCCCCCTGTAGTTTTCGGCTTGTTGCAGTGAAGCACAGGTGTGCGCATGCGATCTGGTGTGTTCAGTTATGCTTTGCTCTTTGGATTTGGTCCATGTTCTGTACAGTATAGGGCTTCTTGCGAGATGATTACAATGTTCCATCTGCCTTCGTCCATGAATCAGCTCGTACATGTCATGTGAGTTCATTTTCTTGTTGCATTGTATTTGGGTGGCGCGCCGGGTGTTGTCAATGAATCTCGTGCTTTGTGTGTGTGTGTGCCGACTCTTAGAGTTCACAACTGTCTGAGCTGGCACCTTTACTGGATTTTGATAGCGGATGTGTATTCTTCTGGTGCAATGATGTGTATGCTTTTGGTGCAATTGCCTGTTCTATAAAAGCGCGTTTCTTGATGAATTAGTGCGCGAGAATCATTGTTCCAGAAAGCCTTCTGCCAAATCATGCGTAGAGATCCATATCACATGACTCCCTGACCCCCGCAGAGACTGCGGTGCCCGGCTAGGCATGGGGCCAAGGGCCCTCAGCCCTACAAGCACCTGAAACCCAAAGCAGAGGTGGGTCATCGGGATCGTCTTCTTGCTTACTTGCTGTTCTCGATGCTGCGCACCTCGCTGCTGTGGGCCTGACATGCCAGACGTTGCCCCCTGCCTGCACATGCCAAGGCAGCAAAGTCCCAGACTGCTAGCATGAAGTTTGATTAGCGGGCTTGGCGTTCAGGAGTTCGTTCTTTGTTAGGCAAGACCGCCAGTGACCTGCTTTGTGCACAGTCGGACACGCCCCAAGTGCGATGGCGGGTCATAGTGAAAGTTGATGCCACTTCGGGGAATGTTCTGCAACCTTGGCGCGTTTAGTGGCCTGGGAGGAACAAAGGCGGGCTCCGGGTCTAAACATGGCAGGCCCGGCGAGCCTGGACATTCCCTTCTACATCGTGTTCTTGCTACACGGTGTGCAATCCAGGAGGCGTTTTGGGATGTAAATGCGGGGCCGCAGGCGGCCTGCAGGCTGCTGTGGATGTAAAGTTTGGTGCTAGCTCTTCAGCGGAAGTCCGAAACCTCCAGCACCACCGGAACAGAGGCTTGACTGGCTGGCAGCTTTGCCTGATGCAGGAATCACGCTGACCTGGGATCTCCTTCTCAATAACAGCATCACCTACGAAGACGCAGAGGCGATGTGGGACTTTTGGGAGAGCTTGCGGTGGATTCGCTACATCCGCATCCTCCTTCTGATCACCTCCATCATCGGGATTATTTTCGGGATCAGAAAGCTCAGCCGCTGGGTTGATTCAACAGAAAACTAAACTCTAATCCTGAAGCTAGGCCTGAATGCCCCTGCTAGGCCTGAAGGCCCTAGACCCAACTCTGAACTGAGGACTCATGCGGAACGGTGGGGTCGGCAAGTCCTACAGTTCCCCTCCATCGTACACTGGAGCTGCTCCCGTGGCGGTGGGAGCACCGGTGATACTGGCTGCTACGGAAGTGCAGCCGCAGGGCAATGAGCCTTCAAATCAGCCTGTATAGGGCACATCCTCAATCGCCTGTCGAAGTCAGGCAAGTGCTGGTCTCTGCCGGTGTGGGACATGCATAGAACAGTGCGGGCTTATAAGGTGGGTGAGTAGCTTCAGGGGCTTCACCATTTCCGGGGGCGCAGTCTACGGTTTGCATGCTCTTATCCCGAGCGAGCCGGCAGTGTGCCGAGACATAGTCCCTTCTTCTCTTCAGGGGGGGCCTGGGGGTGGGTTGGGGAGGTTCGGCGGTCTTTTTCGGTTTGTTCTGGGGGTGTGTTGTGGTTGCGGTGTTGCTTGTCGGGCTTCTGTTCGGGGTTGGGGTGGCGGGGTGGCGTTCTTGAGGCCCAGGGTTTTTCTCCCACCCGTGGTTTTTCCCTGGGCTGGTTTGGTGCTGAGCACAAGTCTTGGTACAACGCTGCAACTGATTCTCCCTTCCCGGGGCCGACTCCTGAAAGCACGAAGGCTTACAAAAAGCCTGTCGCCCAATGCCCCAATGCACTACCAGAGGATAGACTTGCGATCGAAGCGGACTGGCCCAGCTGCGCTGAAACGGATACGGGCTGTGTGAAGGGGTTTGTTTCTGTAAGATGCGCGATGAGTTCACTCCGATTCGGCGATGGCAGTGGTTTTTGATGGGTTCCGTCCGATGCCATTTCTTCGATACCGATCCGAAACCCACTCCTTTAGGGTAAAGCCGTTAAGCTTATGGCATCTCCAAGCCGCTTTCGGCAGCATCCAGGTTTGCATTGTTCTTGTGCATCTGGAGTAGTCTTCAGGCAATTGCGTGTGCGAGGATGAGAATCGAGATCCCCTAAGTCGCCGGCCCCAAAGCATCCCAAAGACCGTTTATCTTCGGACTGTACCTTTGTTGTCCATGCCGTGCATACAGTAGTCTTCCACTCGTGTGCTTTGTTGCGATGCAATGCTCAAGCCCTCTGGGAGAACAGTCGCCCATGGGAGAACCGTGACCAGCCTTGGCTTAACGAGTTGAGGTTTCTGTCTCTTGCTGCTTCAACCTGCATCAATATGGTTATCAGCCACATTGGCTGGTGTTACCCGCAGTCTGCGGAGATGGCTGTTCCCCAGCCGGAGCACGGACAGCTCCTAAATTAAGGAAGCCGGCACGCAGAAGGTGGAAGCCTTGTACCCCAAGCTAGGTATCTTCGACAGAGCAACTGTGTCGCCATTTAGAGAGGTACCAACAGCCGGCCAGGCGGGGCTTTGGGTATGATCCGCGGGCCGCGCTTGGGATGATATGTTCTCCTGCTGCAACAACAGCTTCCGCTTCAGCCAGGGATGCAACGAACTGTAGGGACAGGGAGGCCAGGATTTGGGGAATCGCAGTGACAGCTGTCCGCCGTGAGGACGCGTCATTCAGAGTGAACAATTCTTCAGCCGTCGCTTTCCAACAGCTGGCGGCAGTACCAAGCTGCCAGTTTGGTCCTTGGTTTCACACAGTTCCAAAAACAGCCAAAGACTTTACGAAGAGCCTGGGCATCACTCAACCGATTTTGTGCTCACTTCTACAGCGGTGGTGAAGGAACATAACCATCAAATGACGCTCACTGATGCTTTCTGAGTTCCACCTACACCGAAATCAGTACCAACAGAACATGGGCATCAACATCGGACATTATGACGCGAATGAGACTTGCCACAGCAGAAGAAACGAACAGCGTTCACCGTCAGGTAGTCGCAAGCCTCGAAGCAGGCAGCCGATCAACAACTTCTCAGTGCGGAAATGGCTGGAAACCTGATACAAAAACTGTGGAACCATTACAGAGACTCAGTGCAAAGCCGCGAAACAAGCGAGACGCTTAGGGAGGAAACTGTTCAAGCTTTTGAGTACAACAAGCTGGTGTCTTTGACGCAGTTCGGGCTCTACATGAAGCGAAACTTCGAAAAACATGTGTCTGCACTCAGGACAGAATTCAATGAAACTGAGGAACATAAGGGAACTGAACGAAGAGCTGCAGGACGAGACCCCTACTGCCCGCAACCAGCCGCTGGATTACTTGGCCCAGTTCTGCCGCCCCTTTGGGCCCGCCAGGGAGCCTTCACTTTCAATTTGATGTCTGCGAATTCGGTTGTAAGGCATCATTCTGAAGTACTTTCAACTTACCTCTGCGGTTTTGGTAAACAAGATATGAGGGAGGTGGAATTAGAACCATTGATGATCCATTTTAACCTTAAAAATTGATGAATTTGTATTGACATTCTATCCTTGCAAGATGATTCGTCTAAATTCGTTGATATTTCCGACACAATATATTTGAGTCAATAATTTCAAATCTTCAAACATCTTCACGAGAGAACGAGATTTCTATTTCATATTTCTCGTATTCTAATTCTAGATTATTCGGATCTGAAGAAATCAACCTGTCATACTAAATTGATGTGAGATCAAGATACAAATAATCATCTCACAGACATCTGAATGGTGCACATGTCTGCTCCGCAAAGCACCAGTAAATCATGATGTGAGATCCAATATTAATTCGCTGAAAGGGAAGATTTATGCTCCATTCATGATATGTTTAAACGAAAATCGGATGGCAGAAGAAAAGATAAATGGAAAATGAAAAATTAGCGATCATAGGACCTGTAAGAAAATCACCTCTTAATGGCCCAAATTTAAAGGCCTAATCTCAATAGGGAGATAATCGTTTATGGGGACCGGGTAGATGCGGACTCCTCTGGATTTGCGGGACATAAAAAAGATGATTAAACATCTCGTATAGACTCCGGAAATTTTACGAGCACTTAATATATGATTATACATTATTCGTGCAACCAAATATCGTTTAGTCGCCCCTATAATGAATCAAAAAAGTATGATTCAATATTAAAGCCTCCTTTCTTTGCCAAACGCCATGGAAGTAGGGGCAGCCACGCGAACTTATGCGGAGAAGAAACGTAACGATCGGGGCACCCAGGAAGCGTGTCAAGCTCAACAAATGGGCTTTGAACCCATCGTTGACAAAACACTGGAAGGATGTGAGCTCGGAACCCGTCAATTGTTGAAAAATCTATGTCAACAATGCGACAAAGTCTTGAATAAATCTGATGGGTCAACGAAGTCTTTCTTGAAAGGACGAATCTCTATCGTTATCCCATATGATATATCTCACATTCTTGAACATTTCGGATGGTCCAAGTCGTTGAGGGCACGGAAGCCAAGATTCATTCATGAATGTAGTGGGTAATTTATTTCGAACATCTAGAGCCAAACTATCTCTTCTTTTGAGGTGATCAATGCGTGGGCGTTTGATACCGCCAATGTTCCTCATTTGTAAAGGAGTTTCGTGGCTTAAATCGTCGTGGGATCTGGGCCTTAATTTGGGGTGGCAGTGGGCTTTTCAATTTCTATATGATCGCTGTACAAGTATAGTGACGTCCGCGACGTCCTTTTGAAATTAGTGCCAATTTAGTGACTTCAGAAATCCGAAATGAAGCCAAATTCAGGACCTGGTTTGCCTAGGACCTAAGCCCTTTCCCCACAAACACTTGCTTTGGCTGGTTTGGCCTTTTTCTGGCCCTGTAGGATCGCTTTCTTTGGAGCTCTGGGTTTTGGATTGAGTTTAAGGGTTTGGGGGCTTGGAATTGGGTTTGGCTGCACTTTTCAGCCAAAAAAACCTTATCTGGGCCAGATAGGGTTTTTTTGGTGGGTTCTGCCTGTTGAGCTGGTTTTGCCTGCACCCTGTTTGATTGCCTTTGGAGTCTCGGGTTCATGGTCGGTTGCAGGGTTTAGGGGCTTGGAATTGGGTTTGGCTGCCCGCTGTCTTTTGAGTTGGTTAGACTGCACCCTGTTTGATTGCCTTTGGGTATAGGGTCTAGGTTGCTGGCCCACATCGGCTTGACATTGGGGTTTGGGCTGCACATAGGCTAGTTTTGGGGTTGTTTCAGGGTGGCCCAGCTAGGCTCCTTTTAAGGTTGCTGCAGGTTTTGAAGTGAGTTCAGGGCAGGGCTCAGAGTTTTGGGCTTTGGGTTTAGCTATGCATTTAGCTTTTCGTTAGACTGGAAGCTTGAGTTGGGTTGGCTGGGCGATGTGTAAACCCTGGAGCTTAATTTCGGAAACGAGATTAAGCGCGACGTCCATAATTTGAATTTTCAATGTAAGCCCGACGTCACTATTTTCGCGTTTCGTATCTAGTGCGACGTCAAATGCCTAATTTGGATTCTGAAATTAATAGAATGTCCCCAGTTTGAAGCAACAAAGATGGCTTGAACGATTTGCTCAGTGTAAACAGTCTGGGCTTAGTGGTTGAGAAGTTGCCAGAACCGTATGTATATTTGCCAGGACAGAAAAAACTTGTCAAACGCCTTTCCCAGCTGACCACGGGAGTTTGGGTCCGAAAACAAGGGTAAGGCACAGCGCGCTAGAGACTTTAAGACAACGGACAAGTGAATACCGCTGGCCGTTTGTTGGCTCCATGGCTACCGGTGCCAAGGGTCCATCAAGCAAACCTTCCGGAACCCGCAACTCTTGACCAAGATGGGCAAGTGCTGCAATGAACTTGGTTCCAGCCCGACCTTGCAGATTTGTGTAATTCTCTCCTTGACGGTTTTTGTGGTGATCACGATCGCCAACCTTGTGATACAGTTCGTGGAGAACGACATCGAGATTGATTATGCGGCGGCGGATACTGCTGTTGGGCTGATCATGTTGCTCGGATGTCGACTATGCATGCCTGTCCTGCCTTAAATCTTCGCCTAGATCTTGCATCTGGAACCTCAAGTAGCCACTTCCCCCTCCAGCCCCAGAAGACGCACTGCAAGCACCGTTTGGCGCTGGAAGCCGCAAACGTATCACCGGCCAGCAACCGAAACGAAAGGTATGAATGCACGTTGTTGATCATGCAACAAATGTCAGAGATAAGCACACCCCCCTGTAGTATTCGGCTTGTATTGCAGTGAAACACAGGTGTGCGCATGTGATCTGGCGTGTTCAGTTATGGCTTTGCTTTTTGGATTTGGTCCATGTTCCGTACAGTATAGGGCTTCTTGCGAAATCATTACAATGTTCCATCTGCCTTTGTCCATGAATCGGCTCGTATATGTCATGTGAGTTCATTTTCTTGTTGCATTGTATTTGGGTGACGCGCAGGGTGTTGTCACAAGAGCATGGCGCACGCACCTAGGGCAGCAGGTGTGAAAAGAGAAGATGCCCGATGAATGCAGCGTAGAGTGCGCCATGCTCTTGTTGCGTGAGAATCAATGGTCCAAAGAGCTGCCAAATCATGCGTAGAGATCCAGGGTCACATGACTCCCTGACCCCCCCAGAGACATGGGGCCAAGGGCCCTCAGCCCTACAACCACCTGAAACCCGAAGCAGAGGCTTCTCATCGCCATCGTCTTCTTGCTTACTTGCTGTTCTCGATGCTGCGCACCCTGTTGCTGTGGGCCTGACATGCCAGACGTTCCCCCTGCCTGCGCATGCCAAGGCAGCAAAGTCCCAGACTGCTAGCATGAAGTTTGATTAGCGGGCTTGGCGTTCAGGAGTTCGGTTGTTCTTTGTTAGGCAAAGTCGGACACGCCCCCAGTGCGATGGTGGGTCATAGTGAAAGTTGATGCCACTTCGGGGAATGTTCTGCAACCTTGGCGCGTTTAGTGGCCTGGGAGGAACTAAGGCGGGCTCCGGGTTTAAACATGGCAGGCCCGGCGAGGCTGGACATTCCCTTCTACATCGTGTTCTTGCTACACGGTGTGCAATCCAAGAGGCGTTTTGGGATGTAAATGGGGGGCCGCAGGCGGCCTGCAGGTTGCTGTAGATTTAAAGTTTGTAGAGTGCTAGCTCTTCAGCGGAAGTCCGAAGCCTCCAGCACCACCGGAACAGAGGCTTGATTGGCTGGCAGCTTTGCCTGATGCTGGAATTATGCAGGCCGGGAATCTCTACGACAATGACAGTCTCACCTGGGAAGAATACGATGAGATGGTTGAATTTTGGCTCAGCGTGCGGTGGACTCGCTTCCTTCGCATCCCCCTGCTGATCACTTCCATCATCGGGATTATTTTTGGGATCAGAAAGCTACGCTGCTGGGTTGATTTAACGGAAATCTAAACTCTAATCCTGAAGCTAGGCCTGGATGCCCCTAAAATAATAGCAATAATAATAGTAATAAGAATAGTAATAATAGTACTAAGAATAATAGTAATACTAGGCCTGAAGGCCCTAGATCCAACTCCCAATTGAGGACTCATGCGGAACGGTGGGGTCGGCACGTCCTACAGTTCCCCTCCATCGTACAATGGAGCTGCTCCCGTGGCGGTGGGAGCACCGGTGATTGTGACTGCTACGGAAGTGCAGCCGCAGGGCAATGAGCCTTCAAATCATCCTAATTCGCCTGTATAGTTCCCGGACTTCGCTGTTAATGTCTCTCTGAATACGTGCGGCTTGGGGTACATCCTCAATCGCCTGTCGAAGTCTCGCAAGTGCTGGTCTCTGCCGGTGTGGGACATGCATAGTGCAGGCTTATAAGGTGGGTGAGGAGCTTCAGGGGCTTCACCCTTTCCAACCTTGTTGTTGTTCAGGGTCGGGGGCGCAGTCTACGGTTTGCATGCTCTTATCCCGAGCGAGCCGGCAGTGTGCCGAGACATAGTCACGGAGCACGAAGGCTTACCCACAGCCTGTCGTCCAATGCACTACGAATCGAAGCAGAGGATGGACTTGCCATCAGCAGACTGACCAAGCTGCGCTGAAACGGATACGGGCTGTTTCTGTGAAATGCTGAGGGGTTTGTTTCTGTGAGCTGCGCGATGAGAGCACTATCACGAGGTTGTAACCGTTCACTCCGATTCGGCGATTGCAGTGGTTTCTGATGGGTTCCGTCCGATGCTATTTCTTCGATATCGATCCGAAACCCTGCACTCCTTTAGGGTTTCGGGTTTAGGGTTTAGGGTAAAGCCGTTAAGCTTATGGCATGTCCAAGCCGCTTTCGGCAGCATGTAGGTTTGTATTGTTCTTGTGTACTGGGGTAGCCTTCAGGCAAATGCCCCAAAGCATCCTCAAGACCATTTATCTTCAGACTATACCTTTGTTGTCCATGCTGTGCATTCTATAGTCTTCCACCCGTAATCTTTGTTGAGATGCAATGCTCAAGCTCTCTGGGAGAGAAGTCGACCGCCCTTGGCTTAACGAATTGGGGTTTCTATCTCTTATTGCTTGAACCTGCATCAAGCTGGTGTTACTCTCAATCTACGGAGCTGG